CTCAAACTTTCGAAGATCAAGTGCACATGCGCTATTGTGATAAATTTTGACACACGCTATCAATGGTTTCATGATAAACAAATGTGCAGATATCTGCTGTACTACATTTGAAGCACAACTCAGTCTATTCACAAAATATTTTTCATAACTTAATGGTTTGACAGTGAAGATAATAGTTTCCTGTTACAGCTCGAAACACATCCACTAAAGGTGGTCACCTACTGACTTTCACTATGTTGAACTAAGTGATTGTTCACTGAAACCTTATCTGGCTCAAGATAACTGGGGAGCAGCGTGATTATACTCCCATATTAATGCAGCAACATTAAGTACTAAAAATTAAACACAGACAATTCATAAGGTTGTGAACATTTATTATCTCAGATAGCTAGGACAGGGGCTATTCATGCCAAGTTACTGTCTGCTGAAGTAGGTTGAAGCTGGAGAGATGTTAAAAGTAACCAGAATAAAATACTACTAGTCCACCACATTCCTGACTTTTGGTCTGAGGATGTGGAAAAACGTTGACTTCCCGATTGGGTTTGGCCAGGAAAACGAGAGATTTTAGGTGATATTGGCTCAGAGTTGATCTCAGTGGCGCAGATGCCTGCACACATTATCTCCACCCTGATCCGTGTACCTAACTGTGTTATTGTGTCATTCCTTCTCGTTTTCTTTTCACGACATCCTGCCCTTTATGGTTAATTTCCTCCTTATTTCTCTACCTTTCATCGTGCTCAAATATGTTCAAAACCAATGGAGAGAGTGTCTTTATGGATGTCCTAAGGTTTCGTTTGCAATAATGTAACAAATAAACCAACATTTTCTTTTTCCAGTTATCTTCGATTCCAAAATGCTCCTGAACTGACTTATAGATACTCAATATTGATGTCTCAAGAGTGGTCTGCAACTTCTCCCAGTTTACGGTAGGGAATGAAGTGGTAGAATGCGTCGATCGCTCCACTTGCCTAGAGAATCGCATCAGCACAACCAGGTTGGTTGTTGACGAATCCTCAATTTTGCATAAAGAAAGGCTTGTTTGGCATTTCTAAACCTGAATCATCTGTGGCGCCGACTAGAAAAATATCCGACTATCTATTAAAGGACGCCTAGACTGTGCTGCAGTTTGTTCTGTCTTGTTATACGCCTGTGAGACATAGACATTGAAAGTAGATTTGAAGAGATTACAGAATTTCGAATACGGATGTCCCCGTAGCATTGCTCGTGTGTCATGGAATTACTGTGTGAGTGAGGTTGAGGTTAAGTGAAGTGTACCAGGAACCTTGATCGTTGAAGCTGTCTATCACCAGCGACTCAGATGGTTCGGACGTGTATCGTGCATGCCAAGCCACTGCCTACATCGACGTGCAACACTAGAAGCTGGATTGAGTTGAAAGAAGGTTCAGAGTGGCTAGACCAAGACGTGGCACAAGTTCATGAAGTTTCTGACTGCTGGTTTGATAGTGTGAATCACCTGGCTGGGGTCCTCGAGGCTACAGGGACCAACGTTTGGACACTTGGTGAAATGGCTGAAAATCGGCCACAATGTATCAAAAGTATTTTCTCCTCAGAGTTTTCTAAAGCTCAAGCGTATTCATTAACCTTGGTTTTCATATTCTATTTCCTTCCATACATTGTCTACTTTGATACCAGTCTTTTTCTGTCCACTTGTTCTTTGCATGCTACTGTGAAGTGCGGTAATTAGAACCGACTAACTCCTGCGCGAGGATCTACGTTAATCTTTTCTGTCCGTACGTTCAACACAGATTGGACTCTCTGATGAAATATATCACATTCATTCTAGGAAGGTTAACACAGCTAAATTTTACAGATAAGAAACCCCAAATTTCGAAACAAATCCCGTTGCAACCATTTGACAGTGTGATCTGAGTTACAACCCTGACATGATTAGTTCTCGAGTAGTTTTGAAGCACAACGGTAAAAAGATAGGGTTCCCGATATGTTAACATCGGTGTACATTTACTTGTTTAACCTTCGTGAAGTCTTCAAATTAATCATTAGTCACCCTCACGACGTGTATCTATCTAAATGAATGAACAAGCAGAAAGTAAAAGTCGCTGCTTACTCTACTCAGCCATATTTAGTTGATGCCCCAAACAAATGGTGAGCACTGTTTTTTTAAGGGGTTCACAGTATATGTAATAACCTGCGATTTCATCTCTTGTGAACGGCTGAGACAGAAATAATGAAACCAGAACGGTATACAGAAATGGTAGGAATAACATGTTATCAGAGTCACGACGGCCACAAATGCTTTCATGCTCAGAAGCTCCGCGCCCTTACTATGCCAAACAAACATTTTGTTGTGCTTCAGTCAGTCACAGGTGCCCTTTCAATTTTAGCATTTTCTGATAATTTATTTTAATTCAGGAAGCATTAACCAATCCGCGGTCATCTGATATGAACTGACAACGGCAGTAGCCACGCAAACCTCCGTACTATGGAAGCCATCAACATCTAATTCAATATAACCATAATTGTCGGAAATAACATCAAACAGTCCAAAATTATATCGTTACTTCGTTGCAAAACTCATTTCATCTCTTGATCTAAAGGAGCATGAATCAATGTCCAACAAGATCAAAATGCTATCCACAAAATGTGAATTCAGTACAGAATTCAGTCAAAGTGAGAAAACACAACTTCAGAATCTAACGACGATTTATGAAGCATCATAACACACAAGTCTAAGTGTACCCTTAGGTGTGTAAGGATTTTAACGACTAGTATGCTTGGGGATTTACTGAATTATGTTTCACTTTTTATGATTTTTTCAACAACTACAGGTTTTATCTCCACAAAAACAATCCAGTAACAGAACATTTTGGATTCACTTTTTTATCGAGCTGGTCTAACAAAAAAGGTATTAAGCGACTAGAAAATCTAGTTTTTTCAAATGCGACCCATGTTAGGTAGAGGCGAAAAAGTTATGGGCTCCGAAATGTCACTTCTGAAAGTACAAAAAAAGTTAGTCTCAATTGCAGACCTGTTAACAACATCAGTCATTCAGCATCATCGTGGGACCTGACATTACCGCGTAGCGGTCAATGTTGACACACTTCATATCAGCACATCAAACTAGGAGGGACCATGATGAAATGTAGAGAAATAAGGAAGAAATTAACCATAAAGGGCAGGATGTCGTGAAAAGAAAACGAGAAGGAATGACACAATAACACAGTTAGGTACACGGATCAGGGTGGAGATAATGTGTGCAGGCATCTGCGCCACTGAGATCAACTCTGAGCCAATATCACCTAAAATCTCTCGTTTTCCTGGCCAAACCCAATCGGGAAGTCAACGTTTTTCCACATCCTCAGACCAAAAGTCAGGAATGTGGTGGACTAGTAGTATTTTATTCTGGTTACTTTTAACATCTCTCCAGCTTCAACCTACTTCATCATCAACATAGGACCAGGCATTACTGCGTAACGGCCAAAGTTGCCACAGCTCATATCAGTACATCAAGTAGAAAGTTAGTGGCGTGAAAGATGAAGGTAAGAAAATTCAGTGAAAAATACAAAACACGATGAGAAAGAAAGAACGAGAAAATGGCGAGTTTCGGCATAGCGTCGTTAAGATGAGGATACTGTGGGTATACATCTGCACCACTGACATCGGTTGTGAACCATATCACCTACAGTCTCCAACCTCTTGTCCCGTGGACCGCAACAGGCTCCTCTGCATCGCCCTACGTGGCTCAAACCAACAGTCAAAGACTTCATACAGGGATGCCATGTTTTGGTCTGGCCGCTTCGGGTTTCTTTTTAGCCTAAACCTACTTTGACCAACATTGTATGACGAGGCATACATAACACATGTCGGAGCCAACCACCTCAGTCGATGGAGGTTCATAACCTCATCAACTGATTTACCTCTTCTCCCCAAAACTCTACACCTGACTTCTGCATTACTCACGTGGTGACACCACGGAATACGGCTTATACTACGAAGGAAACAGTGGCCAATCACTTGAAGCCTACTCATGTCTTCCACCTTGGATGGCCATGTTTCACAGCCATGGAGCAGAACAGAGCGGACTGCTGTGCAGTACACGCGACCCTTAATAGACAGTCGAATACCACAGTGGATCCACAGATGGCATACGTTTGCAAAAGCCAATCGAGCCTTTTGTATTCGTGCAGAAATTTCGTCGGGCAGTGAGCCACCAGGGCTGACCCCACTTCCCAGGTAAGTAAAGTGGTCGAAACACTCAACCATTACACTCTCTATAATGACATGAGTAAAACATGTCCCGACCGTCTGAGACAATGAATTTTCACAACCACAGTAAGTGACTCGTTTCTTTTACGTGAAACTCAACGCCTGGCTTTTGATTTACTGACGTGGCTGCACCGTGTCTCGGTCTGTGCTACGAAAGTAAGAATGAGGGGCAAGATGGGTAAATCAACTGGTGAGGTTGTGAACCTTCATCGAGTGAGGTAGACTGTACGTTTGTTGAGCATGCTGGTTTATTACCTACCCCGAAGTGGCATCTTAGGGGAAACTGGATTAGGTTCAGTGTGGTCAGATGACGGGTTGGGACTAGTGTATGAAAACCGTGACTGTTATCCTCAGTCGTGTTGGGATGTACATAAACTGCCTGGCCGGCCTCCCCAAGACTATGTATCAGTGATTGATTCTTGGCGAGATGGTTGAAAACTGGTGGCAGTGGCGCAGTGTATTCACTCTGATATCTTAAAAAGCTTGAACGCTCTTACGCGCCCTTACCTTGGGATTCTTTATCCTCCCATGCAACTTTTTCCAACACAGCATCACTCTTATTCTATCTAACTGTACATTGTATGGCGCTGTGGAATGTGGTAGCTTAAACCAATGCACCTGTGTCAGGTTCATGTTGACTCTGTTACAGTATAATGAAATTAATTTAGCCTGGGATAAGATGTCTGGCACGCGCGACACTCTATGAACAGTACAAAGTGAAACCAAGTATGATAAAAATTGCGAGACTGATTGACCTAACAATGGAGACCACATAATGTATGCACAATACCGTAGTCCTGACGTGTCACATAAGCAGCAAACCCGGAAATCGACAACTGCGACCCACGCGCAAATTATAAGAAAAAAACCGATTTCAGCCACCTCCAGTTAATCATCCTACAGAGCGGGATTTTTTAAAATACAACTTACTATTACTTTGTGTAGAATATTTGGAGGCAAAATGATACGTGTTTAGGAATGAACCTTTTATGGTCATATTGCGAATATGTAGCTACATGCTCAAACCACTAGCAGATTGTGACGGAGTGCAAGGAGATGTACTCAACGAACTCCCAGACACTAATAATCTTTAGAAATTTATGCTAAATAAGTACATTATAGACAGATTATAAGACTTCGAGCCACACATACCATTTGATAGTGCCATTTGCAGCTCTGAGCTGTCCACATATCCATTTCTGTTGCGATCTACTCTAAAATTATAGCATACACAACTTCAAAAATATACATACCTATTGAATATTTGTCGAATCGTCTGCTGATTTTGCATAACTTCGTAGGATTTCCCCCAGAAGTGTCAGTAAGTATTCAGAACAAGTGTGCACACCCTGTGAGATAAGAAACGGAGGAACAACATGAGCAGAGCCCTACTGACCATAATACAAAGGTTTCGAATTTGAGCCTCAACCCTACTTACCACGATAAATCTCACAAATCGTTAATAGCCCGCTTTCGTCTAGGTCATGAAGAAGAAGATTTCAATATCCAATATCTTTTAACGAGTAAGTGTAAACCAACTGATTTCTTAGAGCTCGCTTCTAGGTCTTGCGGAACAGTTCCAGGTCTTTGGTGGATTCCAATGCAGTAGGTCTACCCACTCGACTGCTGTAGCTTTGGTCAGCCCGACGGGCGGATGGGTGTTGTTTAGATTTATAGTGAGTGTATGTTTGTTTGCTTTTTCTTCCGAGGACTGTGGTGCACATGGGTTCTCCAAGTGTCGTGCCAGTAGACAATTGGTCGGACTGGTTGTAAAAAGGAGATGAAAAATATGTGCAGAGGAATCAAGAGTGAGAAAGTGCAGGGAGAGACAAAATAGAAAAAGAAAAGGAAAAAAGGAAGAAGAATAATATATAAGAAAAAAGATTAGGAAAAAAGAGACGGCACGGAAGAATAAAACATTGGTAGGCTTGTCGGGAATAGGTGATAGGCGGAGCTTTTGCCAAAGTTTGAGAACGTAATGTCCGAAATAAGAAGAATAAATAACACGATAGGACGAATGGAAGTATAGTAATTCTTTTAGCAGGATATGGCAACTGGAGGGGACGTCTACAGGAAGGTATGAGGTTAAGTCAAATTCTCAGTGATAGCGGTTTTACAAAGGGTTCAGTAACGGTTGGTTGTACCGAATTAGTAAGTCGTGTCAGCCTAGCCCACATCCCAGTCGAATGAGTGCAAACCGTGCTCTGCTGCATAACTGTCCAACCTCTTCTGGAAGCTGTCAACAGACGGAGCAGTAACGATCTCCGCAGGCAATGAGTTCCAGTGGCCGCAAACTCGCAGAGAGAAGAAGTGTGATCGCACACGCTTTTTCGCTCTTTGGTGAGCCATCCTCCTTGGGTTACCACGAGGATCGTCACAGTGGCCGTTCGGTAGGATTCCACTGTTCGGATGACTTGGGTTACTGAGTATTTTGTAAGCCTTTATCAAGTCACTGCGTAATTAACGGTGGCTTAGGGAGCAGAGCCCTAGATCTTTCAGCCTGTCCTGATATGGTTTTCGCCTCACTCCCACGACACTCTCTGTAGCTCACCTTTGGACTTTCTCTAGCAGGTTCACATCTCTTTCTAGATATGGGGATGCAGTGACGTTGTGTACCTCTAAGTGGGGTTGTATATAGGTCCTATACAGCTTCAAAAAGAGTTCTGGGGCCGGGGCACCCAGTTGTCTGTGCATGAAGTACAGTACTGCATAGGTTCTGGTGGCATCTCCTGGACAATTGGAGCTAGTGTCTAGTTTGTCAGTTAGTATTAGTTCTAGGCCTTTCTCTGTGGTGGTGCGGCAAAACTGTGTTCCACAGAGAGGATAGGGTACCTTCTGAGAGTCTGGGGTGCGGGGAAACATGGCTTGGCACTTATCTAGGTCAAATGCAAGTCCATTACTACCTACTCACCCTGCAAGTAGTCCGAGATAACCTTGCAGTGCACTGGATTCTGTTTCTGACCTCACAGCTCTCCATAACTTAACGTCATCAGCGCAGAGTGGAATTGGGGACCTGAGATTCAGTGGGAGGTCATTCACCAAAAGAAGGAATGGCAGTGGACCCAGAATCGCTCCTTGTGATGCACCAGATGATGGTGTCCTCCAAGTCGAGCAAACTCTGTTGGATTTTGTGCAGAATTGTCTATAGTCAAGATGGTCGTGCAACCATGAAAGCACTTGTCCTTTGGTGCCCAACCTTTCTGTTTTGTGAGTAAGAATGATGTGTGGGACTGTGTCGAAGGCCTTAGCAAAATCCCGGAAAATAACATGGACAGGAATTTGGAGGTCCCAGCATGCCGTCCGCTTATCACCTGCCGCCAGAATGTTTGTGGCATGGGACCTACCCTTTCTGAAATTGTGTTGAGCATCACTGAGTGCTCCTCCTCTTTTCTAAGTGCTCCTTGACATGGTCGTCCCCCAGACTCTCCATCACTTTTGACACCACTTGTAGAAGGGCTATGGGTCGGTAGCATTTTGGGTTCTGCCTGTCTCCACCTTTGAAGATGGGGGACATAATGGCACTTTTCCACTCTCGTGGAAGCATATGATTGTCTAAGGCGTGTTGAAACAAGTTACACAGCGGACCGCACAAGGCACCCGCGCATTGTTTCAACACAGCCGGTCGGATGTCATCACACACTGGTGATTTCACTGCGCGGAGCTTTGACAGTTTTCCGAGGAGCACAAGTACTTTCTATATCGACTGTGTCGTTGTACCAGAAAAACTTCACGTACTGGAACTAGAGGACTAGAAATCTTCCAGATCTTTGGTCTAAGGAGCTGGCAAGCGAGTATATCCAATATTTTTTGATTGGCTTGTGTAAACCAGTTGATTCCTCCTTCCTCGCTTCTTGGTCTTGCGGAACAGTTCCAGATCTTTGGCGGATTCCGATGCGATAGATCCAGCCTATCGTCTCCTATAGCTCTGGTCTACAGAACAGGAAGTTAAGTGTCGGTTTGTTTGCCTTGAACTGTGGTGCAGTTGGCTTCTTCAGATGTCCAGTTGCCACACAGTTGTTCGGACTGGTCGCTAGAGAGGGTTAGGGACAGGGAAGAGAAACCCTAGAAAGTGCTTGTGTGAGTAAAATAAGAGAGGAGAAGTGAACTAATGCAGTAACCCACTTAAACCCAAGGCAGTTGAGGAGGGGTGAAAAGGTGTGAAGAACCCAGGTGAGGCTAACTTATGGCTAGTGGAACGGATGAGAAGGGCTGAAACGGTCACAATGGAAAGAAAACCGGTTGGGGTGAATGGACATCACTTCGTGCCCCAGCTATATGTGGGTAGACCGTGAGTCTCTGCATGACTATCTAGCCTCCTCTTGAAACTTTCAGTAGTTGAGGTGGAGACCACCTCTGCTGGTAATGCCTTCCGGTACCCACAGACTCGGAGGGAGAAGAACTGTGAACGCACATGCGTTTTCCACCTTTGGTGGGCCTTTCTCTTGCAGTTTCCTCGAGGATCTCCGTAGCGGTCACTAGGTAGAATTACGCCATTCGAGTGACTTGGGTTACTCGGTATTTTGTAAGCCATTATTAAGTCAACTCGTCACCCTTGATAGCTAAGAGAGTATAGGCCTAGGTCTTTCAGTCCATCATCATATGGTTTTCATTGCATTCCAACAACCGCTTTTGTGGCTCGCCTCTGAAATTTCTCCAATAGGTTCACGCCACTTTTCCTAGGTAACGGAGTGAAGACGTTATGAACCTCTAGGTGGGGCCATACGTAAGTCTTGTAGAGCTTCAGAAGGAGTTCTGGGGTGAGGGCATCCAGTTGTCTACGCACAAAGTGTAGTAAACCGTATGCTTTCGAGGCATTACCTGGGTAATTGGAACTGGTGTCCAGTTTCTCCGTCACCGTTAAACGCAGATCTTTTTCTAATGTGGTATGGGATAGACGTGAACTGGAGAGAGAGATGGAGAGAGAGAGAGAGAGAGTAGGATACTTTCTGGGGATCAGGAGTGCGGAAGAACATGGAACGGCACTTATCCAGGTTAAATGCCAGTTCCTTATTAGTTTCCGATTTCTCTTGTGTTTTGAGGTCGTTCTGTAGTGCCATAGATTCCGCTTCACAAGTTGTTGTCTTCCATAACTTGATATCATCAGAGTATAGGAGAATCAGGGAGCCGACACGTTGCTGTAGGTCATTCATGAACAGTAGGAACAATAGTGGACCCAGACTTGCTTCTTGTGAGATACCGGATGAGGATGTTCTCCAAGTTGAGTAGACCCTGTTGACTTTCGTGCAGAACTCCTGGGTAGTTCTGCAGCCACGATAGCACCTGACTGAGAATACCTAACCCAGCTATCTCATGTACTAGGATCGTGTGTGAAACAATGTCTAAGCCTTTGGTGCAGTCCAGGAAACTCTTGTGGACCGCGACCTTGAGATCCCAGCATGCCGTCCAGTGATCATGGGTCGTCAGGAGGCTGGAGGTACAGGACCTACCCCTTCGGAAGCCATGTTGAGCATCACTGAGTGCTCGCTTTTTGTCCAGATATGCCCTGATACGGTCGTCAATCATACTCTCCACAACTTTTGATATTACTGGTAGAAGTGCTATGGGATTCTACCTGTCTCCTCCTTTGAAGATGGGCGAGAGGATGGCCCGTGTACATTCTCGTGGGAGCTTTTGTTCATCCAAGGAGTGTTGGAAGAGATTACAGAGTGGGCCACTTAAGGTGCTTGCACATTCTTTCAACACAGATGGGCAGATGTCGTTGCACCCTGGGGATTTCCCCACGCTTAACTTTGATAGCTTGTCGAGAACAGCGGCGTGAGTTATCTGTATTTCCTGTAACTCCTCAGCATCGTGTAACGCTGGTGGCTGTTCATACAGCTTGCACGCTCACTTTCCTGTTGGAATGTTGGGCCGTGTGTCAAATGTGGTGCTCAACGTTTCAGCAATTTCCTGTCCGGAGAGGTTTTCTCCATTCGGACCTTTTATGGTGCATGCTCCCTGGCTTGTCGATTTTCTCTTTGCCATGAACCGGTATGGGTTCTTGGGATTTACTTCAAGCCTGTTGGCTAGGTTGGGCGGGAACGACTCCCTATCTCCCGCACCCTGATGTTGCTTCTATTCAGTGGAGTCATGTGTGCGTCATGGTCGTCCTGTTCTCCGGAGAGTCTCCATGTGTGCCATGCCCTTCTCTTGGCTTTTAGAGGGCCTCCAGCGCCCTGTTTTAGCCATATTTTTGTCTCGGTTGTTTACTTAGTTTAGAATGATGGTTGCCTTATGCGGCTACGATACACATAACGTAAGGTTATCTAGCTATCCCCTGTATTGGAAACACTTTAATAATCCGGTTTATCAAGAATGTACTAAAGCTCCGTCAGAAGACTGATAATGGATGGTTTATGATATCAAACCAAGGTCACCTTGTTCTATACCCAGCTATCGAACCTGAGTTAAATGATTGGCGCCTCACTGTTCCTTTTTCAAAGGA